TTAATATATTATATATTTTATTTGCTCTTTTAATACTACTAAGTAACATGTCGCTTACTGGTTATGGGTTCGATTCTCCTTGGGACGAGAAAGGGGGGTTCTCTTATTATTTTCTTGTCAATTTTATTTGTTTGAGGTCAAATTTTTTTTCTTATAAATATTTTTCTTGTCAATTTTATTTTTTTGAGGTCAAATCTTTTTCTTATATAAAAATTGAAAGGTTTTTTCTCAATTTCTCTTTTTGTCAATTTTTTTTTATTATAAAAAAATGAAAGGTTTTTTTTATCAATTTCGGATTTTGTTAAATTTTTCTTATCAATAAAATATAAATTTTCTTATAAAAAAATATGAAAGGTTCTTATCAATTATTTTTCTTGTCAAATTTCTTTTTTTTTGTCAAAAAAATAAAAAAATTTTGTCCAAAAAAAAAAAGTAATAAAAAGTTTTTGTCAAAAAAAAAAGTTCTTATAAAAAAATAATAATACAACAAGTATTTTTGTCATAAGAAAAAAATGAAAGTTTTTTCGATTAATTTCGCTTTTTGTCAACTTTTTTTCTTCTAAAAAAAATGAAAGGTTTTTTTATCAATTTTTTTTTTATAAAAAAAAAAGTTTTTATAAAAAAAAAAATAATACAACAAGTATTTTTTGTCAAAAAAAAAGGTTCTTGCTAAAATAAAAAAACAATGTAATACAACAAACATTTCTTGTAAAATAATAAAAGATTTTTGTCAAAAAAACTAAAATGTTCTTATAAAAAATCATTCTTTATTGTAGTCCATGTATGATTATATATTTCATCTATGATAGTTCTGTGATTTTTATTTTGTGTGATGCAATTTAATTGTTAAAATAAGTTCATACAGAGAAAAATATCTCAATATTCACATATTGATGAAAAAAATAAAAATTAATAATATAGTACCCCGATTTCTTATTGGATTCTTAAAAAAAAACATTTATAACAAATTTTAATAATTTTTTTATATTTTTTTTATAGCTTAATCTGATCAATTCGATCGATTTTCGATCCGAATCGCTGATTCGTAGATCTGAATAGTTTTGTAATGCCCAATCCAAGTCACCGATCCACTTTTTAAACTACTGGCGCTAATACTTTTTAAACCATACCCCTAATCCCAAGAGTTTTATTTTTACAATCACCCTACGTCAAAAAGGGTTTGTGGACAAAAATATCTTTCATTTTAACTTACATTTTACACCCAACAATGTGTATGTCCAACACAAAAGTGTGTCGAACTGAATTTTTATCTTCAAAATGTGTCGGTGTGGTAGATTTTGTGTCGAATATGCTTTTGGTAAGATGTACTAGGCTGGCTTTTAATATAAAAATTTTATCAATCCAACAAAAAATGAGTCCGCGAGAAAAAATGAGTCGGACCAACTTGTATTGAAATTGTGCTAGTCTAATATAAAATGTCCTAGAATGGCTTCTATAGTTAAGTTATGCCAGATTGACACATTTTGAGCCGGACCGGTTTAGAGAGAGAAAGTGAGAGTGGAGAACATGACCTAAAATGAAGGTATTTTAGTAAAACAAAGTCGTCTTTTTACTTAGGGGCGGTTGCAAAGAACAATAGTAGTTGGGGTTCATAATGTAGTATTTAAGTGTTTGAAGTAGGGATATCTAAGAGAAAATTGTTTCACGCAGTTGGGGCCGCATTTCTACATTTACAATCTTTGGGATATAAAGCATCTATCTTTAATATAGATGCAAATAGGCAGTCCACTTAAAAATAATTGAAACTAACGTTCTAAATATTTTTTAATAAAATTAATTTTTAAAATTTATTTATTTTTTCATATTCATGATGTTTGTATTAGAGATTACATGTCCTTAAAGATTAGGTCCAAATCTCCATCTCAAAGTATAATTATCCATAATTCTTAAAAAAAAAAAAAAAGTAAAGAAACATGTAGTATAAGGGATCTATTGTATGTTACTTTTGATTTAGGGGTAGATGAAAAATAAACATTTTTGAAATAAAAAATGTGGATTACAAACTATTTGGGGTGGCATGCCTAGGAAGATCTGTCACAGATAATTTTCTCTAAAATTGAGATTAGAGAGAGAAGAGAGAGTGGACGTACATTATATTATATAAAGAAAAGTTTATATATAGTCCAGGCTTTATACAATCAAATTTGAGCGTACATAAAAAATTTCATTAGCAAATGTTGTTTTGATGCTTAAATATCTTCAAATTGATCATCTCGACATCAAGATGTATGGACATGAAAAAAAAATCGATTTCAAGTTTTAAAAATAGTGTTTCTTGTAACGTATTTTTGGACTATCAATTTTTAAGATTTTCATAGATCTATCGATCTATACTATTTTTTATATTTTAAACTTTATAAATAAATATGAAAATATATTTTTAGGCTATAACAAAGATTTTTAATATTAAAATCACATTTCTCAATACTATTCGAAGGTTGGTTCTAATTTGATTGTTTGGAGCCTAGCATCTATACAAACTTCACTCGTTTGATTGTTTAGAGCCTAGCATCTATACAAACTTCACTCGTATATATATATATAAAATAATTTTATAAAAAAAAATTAATATTTTAAATGATCCTCATTAAATATACCACATATTTCTAATAAACATATGTGTGATAAATTTAATTGTGATCATTTGAGTACCGGCGTGAAAGGGTCATCATCTATGGTCAAATAAAGCAGATAACGTTTACGGGCCAACATAATGCATTACACCGGTACCCAACCATGTTCACAATGTTGGGAATTCAGAAAAACTCCCACATCATGGTGCATAGAGCTGGAACGTTGAACCTCTTCTCAAAAGAACATACTTAGCTTGAAGTTGCTCCCATGGCTTCTCTGCCATGTCCTGTTTTTGCAAATAACATACTCGCCGCTGAACCAGGATTGAGAAATGGGGCTTCGTATCTTCCCTCTCCAGAAAAGGTATGCATTTGGTTCTTCTCATTGGTTATCTCTAAAATTCTTCAAGAGTTTAAGAAAATGAAACTGTAGCTCTCCAAATTAGGAGCAGAACGTTACTGGGTTCATCTGAAACTGATGAATTGTACATGGAAATTATAGAACGGAATCCGAGGAAATTCAATTCTTGAAACTTTCTTAGTTTTGGTGTTCTCAATTCGTCCATGTAAGTGTTGCTTCAAAAGAAAACAGATTTTTTTGTTTTTGGTTGGTAAGCAAAGTTAGTATTAAAATCAATTAAGTTGCAAAATCTATAGTGTATTTGATGAGAATACTAGGATCCAATATAGTCTTTTACTGTCTGGGATCTTAAAGTAGAGAAAAAATTAGTGGGATTCAGTTTTGAGGTTTCTATATAATCATTTATGGGTTTTTCTTCATTTCTCTTTCCTCAATTGCAGAATTTGGGGATATTTTCAGAAAGTTTGTACGTTAGTGTTAATGGGTTCTTCTTTGATTTCTGGCATAGTCTTTCAGGAAAATACACTAAATTGAAGGCTTTGCGGTTGATTTTATTTTCTGAATTTCATCAATGTTCACTCTTTCCTCAGCTTCTAAACCTTCCTTTTAGTCTCTGACTCCATTCTCAGCAAAAGGGAAGGGGCCCAAATCCCTACTCGCTTATTTCCTATTTTTTTCCTAACACTTCCTTTTCAAGGGAAAAAAAAGAAAGAAAATTAACTTGAACTCAAACTTTTTAGTTTCATTTTCTTATTTTGATATATAAAGTCTTCATCAATTTTGGCGCCAGGCCGCTGCTAGCCTTTCCTATCAGAGATACCCCACAACCACCACTGTCATGGAGAAAACCACCAGTTTTCAACAGCTACATTTCAGTGAAGCTCTCTCCATTCTATGTGAAGACCATAAAGTTGACTCAAGCATTTATGCTGCTCTACTGCAAGAATGCATACGTAAGAAATCATTGTCAGATGCCCAAGCAGTTCAAGCCCATATGATAAAATCGGGATTCCATGAGCATGTCTTCCTTTCCACTTTTCTTGTCAATGTTTATTCAAAATGCGGACATACTGATCATGCTCGTAAAGTTTTCGATTCTATGTCTCGCCGAAATATTGTTTCTTGGACTTCTCTTATGACAGGGTACGCCCACAATTCTCAATTTGAGCAAGCTGTGAATCTCTTTTGTGAACTCCTAGAAATTGGTTGTTATCCGACTAATTATACATTTGGTGCTGTTCTAAGTGCCTGTACGTCACTTGGGTATTTGGATTTTGGCAAACAAATTCATGGTTACATCCTAAAATACAAAATTGGTTCTGATACAAGCATAGGAAACGCCCTTTGCAGCTTATATTCAAAAAGTGGGGATGTTAAGTCAGCTCAAAAAATCTTTGAAGGAATTCCTGATAAAAATGTTATCTCGTGGACTACTATCATATCTTCAGCTGTTGATAATGGTGAAAGTGAGTTGGGCCTGAGACTTTTTGTTGAGATGTTAATGGCAGCGGTTGAACCCAATGATTTTACACTAACCAGTGTTTTGAGTGCCTGTTGTGTTATTCTTGATCTAGGTTTGGCGAAACAGATCCATTCATTTAGTATTAAAACTGGGTTGGAATCCAACTTACCAGTCACAAATTCAGTAATGTATACTTACCTGAAATGCTCAAGGCTTGAGGAGGCCCGCCATTTGTTTAATAGCATGGAAACCATGAGCCTAATCACTTGGAATGCTATGATTGCAGGCCATGCCCAGCTCATGGATTTGTCAAGTGATGGCCTTGAAGCTAATAGTAATGGTGTAGAGGCCCTCAAAATCTATCTTAAATTGAACCGGTCGACCATGAAACCCGACTTGTATAGCTTCTCAAGTATATTATCTGTATGCAGCAACCTAGTGGCCATAGAACAAGGGGAACAGGTTCATGCACAAATGATTAAGAGTGGGTTTCTATCGGATGTTGTGGTTGGAAGTGCCTTGGTTAACATGTATACAAAATGTGGGAGTATAGAGAAAGCAATCAAAGCTTTTGTGGAGATGCCCACCAGGACTACAATCTCTTGGACCTCCATGATAAATGGGTATGCCCAACATGGCCTGTGCATGGAAGCCTTGCAACTCTTTGAAGAGATGAGGTTAGCTGGGGTTCGACCTAATAAGATCACCATTATGGGTGTCCTATCGGCTTGTAGTCATGCACGCATGGTCAATAAAGGGCAATACTACTTTAAGATGATGAAGAATGAGTATAACATAGAACCCACAATGGACCATTATGCATGTATGGTGGACATGTATGTAAAGGCAGGGAGACTTAATGAGGCTCATAAGGTCATAAAGGGAATGAGAATTGAACCTAACGAGTTCATATGGTCTCTCTTGCTTGGTGGCTGCAGAAGCCATGGTGACATGGAGCTGGGCACTTATGCAGCTGAGCGCCTTTTAGAACTCGAGCCGAAAGATACCGCGACTTATGTTATGTTATTGAACATGTATATGTCAGCTGGGAGATGGAAGGATGTTTCCAGAGTGAAAAAACTAATGAAAGATCACAAATTAGGTAAGTTACAGGACTTGAGCTGGATAAGCCTAAAAGATAAGGTGTATTCCTTTAGGGCTGATGATAGATCAAATTATCAGACACCTCAAATTTATGCTCTCTTGAGTGATTTGCTTGAGAAAGCAAAGAGTTTGGGTTATGAGGCAGATAAGCACTTAGAGCTGGAAGATGTAGAGGGAGAGGAGATGGTTTCTACCTCTATCAGTCATCACAGTGAAAAGCTGGCTGTTGCATTTGGCCTAATCAATACGCTTAATGGTGTCCCAATACGTGTTGTGAAGAACCTTCGAGTATGTGGGGACTGCCATAGTGCAGTCAAGGCATTTTCCACGATAACCCAGAGGGAGATTATCATTAGAGACAGTAAACGCCTTCACATATTCAGTGATGGCCGATGCTCATGCGGGGAGTTTTGAATCTATGTCCCACATGTATCATAGAATTGTATGTTGAATGTGTCTGATAACTCTAACAAAAGCATTAAGGAATAATGTATATTTATAATTGTAAAGTGTGGCATCATTCATGTTCTTGGAGCTTCTATCTGTTTGGCTTCACATTGAAATATTATTCTTGAGCATTGTTATATCATGTTATCTTTTGTAAAGTGTGGACATCATTCAAGCATTTCTATGCCAATAGTTATTCCTTCAAGTAGTTTAGCAACGTGCTCTTTCTTAACTGGATCTTAGGGCTACTGAGAAGATCAATTTTTTTCTATTTTAGCTTCCCTTCTTGATGTTTGCTGTAATGTTAATCTTGCAAAAAAAACCTTTCTTTATCATGGGAAAGCGTCATTGAGAAGACTGAGACTTTGGTCCTGAGACTTTGGTCACAATTTGAAGGAAACATTTACAAATAAGTCATATTCTATTGCTTTTATGTTGCTAGATTTGTGTTTCTTTTGTTGTTTTCTTTTTTTATCTGGCCCGGCATGCCATAATGGAACCCAATATGATTAAGAACTAAGAATTATCCTTTTCTGCCCTAGGTACGCAACTGCCTAGATATGCTTAAAACATGGTCAAAACTTCAAAGTTCTTTTAGTGGAGCTCAAACTGCAAACCTTCTTTAACCGAGGTCAAAATAAATCCTTTGCAAATGCAAATTATAGGAATCAAAATAAAGGTTAAGGCTCCATTTTTCTCCTTGTCAAAGAATAAAAGTGAAGTCTCAGTTCGAAATGGAGCTCAATATTCCACTTTTCAAATTGCAACAGAGTTCCAAAGCAGGAATCTCAAACTTCATGTAACAAATCAACCCACATCTTTGCTTCAATTATAAGATCAAGATGAACTAGAAACTCTCAATATCTGTGAGGTATTTAACATCCTAGACTTGGAGAATCAAAGATGCAATCAGGTCGTGATGAGAATACCCCGTAAGATACAACCAAGCCTTGTAAAGCATGATGTAGACCTCTTTGAGTTCCGCCGAACTCAAGAAAAGCCAAAGAGTACAGTTTCGTAATAATTTTCCCTAAAAATGACTTGGCTTGGGTTAACTTTCAATTTGGTACCAATCGGATGAAACATGGTGGAAAAAAATCGCAAGTTAGGGAGTTTATTGTTTTACTGCAGCAAATGAAAATGGAAGAAAGAACAACTAAATTTCAATCTCAAATCAGGTTGTATAAAAGGATATTGGATAGCCGCGGTCAAAATCATATGTCAACATGTGTCGAGAGAGAATGAGACATGGCAAAACTCTTAGATGGCAAGCAGAGGGGAAGTGTCCTTAATTGCAGGTGAAAGACTTAATTGCAGCTAAAATTTGGGACTTCAAGAGAAGGCTCTAAAAGGCTTGTGAAGATTTAACCACAATTAGCCAAAGGTTGATCAAAGGGTTGGGCCAACTAAAGGATATACTTTGGCACAAACCCAAACCTCACCCGCTGTCATTGTTTGGCTTGGGCCAGTCGGCCACCTACGTGCACATACGAGTGTGATTTAAGTACACCAACAAATAGAAAATGCCCTTTAACCCCCAGCCTCTCATTCTCTTTTAAGACCCTATAGGGTTATGAAAGTTCCCCACTACAAAGCCATAAAGAAGCTTGCCTCTAGGCAATGTGGGACTGATAGGTTTCAAAAAACTACAAGTGAATTTACAGTAAAACAAGTCGCGATTTTCTCAGAACTCGATGGAGTTCCATTAAAAGCATGTTACCACTATTCCTATAAACTTCCCAGGTACTGATTGGTAGATCTCTTTGGAACCAAAGAAAATGATAGATCTAAATGAAAAGTTTCAAACAAAGTAGATTATAAACTAAATAATTAAAGGGTGCAGTTGACATACGGATGCATCCATAGCTGTAAAAGTAAGGTGCACCTTCAAATTTTATCATGGTATATAATTTTGATGTAAAATGTTTTTAGGATTATCTCAAAATCTATTTTTATATCTAATTATACAATTATTTAGAAAAAAACTAAATACTGACTGGTTAACATAAATTTTGAAATTTTTGTTGAGGACTTTAAGCCAGTCATGCCAACTACCCAATTTTATATCCAATGGTCTAAGGTGATATTAACGGTCCTATTGTGTACTTTTTTCATTTATAATATGCTTATTAATTATGATTATCTCAATTGAACATATAGTTATTCACCAAATAGATCTATAAGTTTTATTCCTCAAATATTGTGTAAAGAACCCAAAGGCCATGTCAAGAAAATATATCCGCTTAATTAGTTAAACTCTTTATAGACTAGAACATGCGCGCAAGTAATCTTATAAGATCCTTGTCATAGTATTATTGTCAAATAATTTCAAAAGGAGTAGTAAGTTATAAAATCACTACATACATATTTGTCTCTATGTTGATATCATGCATATGTTTGGTCATAACCTAGAAATTGTGGAGCCACTAAACATTTAGGGAGTGTGAAATTGTTTTTTGAAAAACATTTTCACATGAGAATTATCTCATATGGTTAAGTGTGGAGATATTTTCATACCAATTGATCCTAGTGCATCTTTTCGTACCAATTGGCAACTAATTATCGTAAAAATATTCTCATATTTAACCACATGAAAGAATTTTTTCATATAAAAATATTTTTTGAAAAATAATTTCAAATGAACCAAACGTGCCATTTAAGTTTCTCTCATCGAATTTTGATATGTGAATATTTTATTAGTGTGGATATCTAAGGGTGTGTTTGATTTTCTAAAAGTATTCTTTCATATCTAGGGGTGTATTTGATTTTCTAAAAGTATTCTTTCATATTTAGAAAAAGTTCCGCGTTTGTTTCATAATTTTCATGAAAAGGTCAGAAACTAATCTTTCAACAAAAGTTCACATTCCTTTGTTAAAAAGTGAAAGATTAAATTCTTGAGGAGGCAAGAACTTAATCTTTCATAACTTTTTGTTAATCACTATTCACTATGCATAATATAAAAGGTGAGGTTTCTAAAAGGTTGCAACCGTAAACAATCCAATGGAGGCGCACCTCCAAATTTATCATAACATGTAATTTTGTTGTAAAACATTCTTAGGATCATCTTAAAATTTATTTTCATATCTAATTAAAATATTTTAAACTCAAAAAACGGTTAAAATCAAGGACATATATAAACATATGAAAATCTTGAAAGTGGATGGTCTAGATAATGTGTTGTAAGATGCTCTATTTCTGGGAATCAAAATACTTATATATATATATATA